CCTGCAATACAACAAACTCAGCGAGTTGCCTGCTGAAGTCTTTTCAGGGCCCTTTTCAGGGCTCAACAACTTGCAGAAGCTGACCCTGGAGTGGAACGGGCTCACTCGGTTGCATGCTGAAGTATTCGCAGGGCTCAGCAACTTGCAGGGGCTCTACTTGCCTCAAAACGAGCTCAGTGAGCTGCCTGCTGAAGCCTTTTCAGGACTCAGCAACTTGCAGGAGCTCGACCTGCATGACAACAAACTCAGCGAGTTGCCTGCTGAAGTCTTTTCAGGACTCAGCAACTTGCAGCAGCTGGACCTGAATTTTAACAAGCTCAACGAGTTGCCTGCTGAAGTCTTTGCAGGGCTCAGCAACTTGCAGAAGCTCGACCTGAATGACAACAAACTCAGCGAGTTGCCTGCTGAAGTCTTTTCAGGACTCAGCAACTTGCACAAGCTGCACCTGGGGTCGAACAAGCTCAACGAGTTGCCTGCTGAAGTCTTTTCAGGACTCAGCAACTTGCAGGGGCTCTACTTGCCTCAAAACGAGCTCAGTGAGCTGCCTGCTGAAGTCTTTTCAGGACTCAGCAACTTGCACAAGCTGCACCTGGGGTCGAACAAGCTCAACGAGTTGCCTGCTGAAGTCTTTTCAGGACTCAGCAACTTGACCTGGCTGCACCTGAGCTCCAACAAACTCAGCGAGTTGCCTGCTGAAGTCTTCTCAGGACTCAGCAACTTGCAGGGGCTCTACTTGCCTCAAAACGAGCTCAGTGAGCTGCCTGCTGAAGCCTTTTCAGGACTCAGCAACTTGCAGGAGCTCGACCTGCATGACAACAAACTCAGCGAGTTGCCTGCTGAAGTCTTTTCAGGACTCAGCAACTTGCAGCAGCTGGACCTGAATTTTAACAAGCTCAACGAGTTGCCTGCTGAAGTCTTTGCAGGGCTCAGCAACTTGCAGAAGCTCGACCTGAATGACAACAAACTCAGCGAGTTGCCTGCTGAAGTCTTTTCAGGACTCAGCAACTTGCAGGGGCTCTACTTGCCTCAAAACGAGCTCAGTGAGCTACCTGCTGAAGTCTTTTCAGGACTCAGCAACTTGCAGGAGCTCAACCTGAGGTCCAACAAACTCATCGAGTTGCCTGCTAAAGTCTTTGCAGGGCTCAGCAAGTTGCAGAGGCTCGGCCTGTGGTCCAACAAACTCAGCGAGTTGCCTGCTGAAGTCTTTTCAGGACTCAGCAACTTGCAGGAGCTCAACCTGCGATACAACAAACTCAGCGAGTTGCCTGCTGAAGTCTTTTCAGGACTCAGCAACTTGCAGGAGCTCAACCTGGGGTCCAACAAACTCATCGAGTTGCCTGCTAACGTCTTTGCAGGGCTCAGCAAGTTGCAGATTCTCAACCTGAGGTCCAACAAACTTAGTGAGTTGCCTGCTGAAGTCTTCTCAGGGCTCAGCAGCTTGCAGAAGCTGAAGCTGTACTTGTACGGAAACGAGCTCAAGGAGTGGCCCGCAATTTGCTCAAGTATCGACTGCCGAAATCACTGGGCTTAGATCGGCTTAGTGGATGTCCTTTCTGTTCGAAAATGGGTCGAGCTGCGGGGATCAGGTTCTAGTCGTGCTCTTTCCACCAGGCTGCACGGGTTTCTGGTGACGACTCTGAGGTCCCGGAGCCGGTCTCCAAGCACCAAGGCCGAAACCGGGAGCACTTGAATTGGGTTCAAAATCAGCAAAGGCATCAGGGTTTTATGATGGTTTTATGGTTTTGTTTTATCATGTTTGTTCATGTTTTATCCAGGTTTCTGTCCTCGCCTGGTGATTTTTGCGAGTTTGGACTCGATTGCTGTGGGATGAGATGGGATGTCTTGCTGTTTTTTTGGCTGGCAACTACCTGAAAACTCATTTTCCCTCTTTGTAAGGTTCAATATATAGCCCTCCGGCAAGAAAACCATGAGGTCTGTCGGGAGCGGAACAGAAATTGGTTGTTTTGAACCTGAAAGGAAGCTGCTGAGAGAGGTATAACAAAGTTTCCATCTGGCCAAACACAAGTCCCGACTCAACACCTTCCAGGCTATTTTGTTTTTCTTTAAAGATGAAAGGCGTGCCCTGTCACTGACTGATTCTAGTTCTCCGTGGCAAGACACGGTGCGCAGGCCACGACAGTCAGCGACCAGGCGCCAAAGACTTTGGGCGCTGGGCGTCGCAATTTTCGGAGGACTCTTTTGCGTTTCACACAGTGAAACAACACCACTTGAACCAAGAACATCAGAACTAAAATGAAATACGGCCAATTGTTCGTGGCTTGGTGGGCGCACTTGCAGCACGGTGGCATTGTAGTGGCGGTCGCAATATCATCATGCGGTTTTATAAAGACCATGGGCCGCCCACTGCGACATGACATATGATCCACATCTTCGGCAACCAACCGGAAAAATTGTGAAAATCGGATCTTTTCCTTTGGATCGTTTAGTAGAGAAGGGCCGTATATGAGTGAGTTTGGGTGGGCCTATAGCTTTGCACTAAAAGCCCCACAGGTGATCATAGCACGGAATGCGAATACTTGGGGTTCCGATATTTTGATCATTGGCTGCGCACCCAAGAATCAATGCTCGGGGATACTGCCTTCGATATCAATTGATATCATATTTTCATATATTTTCATTGATATTCATAAATCAATGATAAATATATTATACTGTATAATATAATATATATATATATAAAGATAAAGTTTAATAAATAGATATACATCATATGTCTGAACTCAACATGATTCCCCGCAGTCTTCTCAGAATCGCCCTGGGTTGCGCAGTTTGTGGGCACGTGGCTACCTGGTTTTCCCGGCAGGTCACGTCACCTATTCGGGTTCTCCACGTGGGGAGACGATGCCAGGCCTGAGAGACGATGCGCCAGAGTCGTAATGAGGACATGACCAGGGGTTGAGCTGACACGACTTGACATGAGTTGATTTTATATCATCATGAATCATCATGAATCATCATGAATCATGAAAACAGTGAGATTGTGATGGATTGTGGCTTTTCAGTGTCAGCAAATGTTGGAAACATCTAGAAAATTCAGTGAACTTTCCATAACATTTTACCCTGCGGTATACAGTATGCTCGAGTGAGCGTGGAAAGGCCAGCTGTACGAAGCGAGACACAACGCTTGGCACTTTCCGTTGAATAGATATTTTCCAAGTTGTAGGGATCTCTCAATTTGTCAAAACATGCCGGAAATTTCAGCTCCAGGTCCTCAGATGGATTTCACGTGTTTTCCTGGATGAAAAACACATCCAAAGTGGGTTCGGAAACAGGCAAAACGTGGAGCTGCCACGTTGGACAGCGAGGCAGGAAGTGGAGCTGGAGCCGATAGAAATACTGGTGTCAAGGGCGAAGTTTCCGCGGAGGTTTTCGGATTTCCGTTGTGTTTTTTTTAACAAATTTGAGGCCTTTCAAATATGTTGAATAACAAACGTGATTGGAATCTGTTTTGTCTCAGAAAAGTGGAGTTGGGTCCAGTGGGTCCACCTAGTGCCCTGTGAGATGAGGGTCCTAACAGGTGGCGCTTCCAACCCATCTACCCTTCTGTGCAACCTTTGCAGTTGACGTTCCTGTAGGGTTTTCATTGCCAGGTTTGCTTGCTGGAGGGCAAAGAAGTTCAAAGTTCACTGTTTACCTTTTCACAGTTTGGTTTGAGTCGTGACACCACTTGTCCGTTGGCCTTCACTTGGCGTCTCAACCTTGTCCGATAACCCTCCGCGCCAACTCTGTTGTCCTAAGGAGAAATTCTCAAATGTTTCCTCCCTTTAAGATCCTTTAGGGTTCGGCAGAACGAAGTCATCTTGGTGCAGAGTCCAGAGTCTTCGAGCTGGGTGATTTTCAAAATTTTCAGTGCAGCTTTGACAGCTGCAGGACTTCCCCTGAGGTCCTGGAAGAGCGCGGAAACCAAGCTTTGCATCATCATTGGTCATCATCTAATATGTACCGTACTATACTTGAGCCTAGCTTGATTTGAAGGAATTCCAAGAAGTGGTTGTCGTTGTTTTCCTTGACCGTGTTGACGATGTGAACCATGTTGACGGTTGTCTTGGACGTGTTGTGTTGTCTTGGCCATTTTGATTCCATTTTGTATCTTGCTGCTTTTTTTTATCAAGACGGACGTGTACGGCATTTGCAGTGTGTAGTGCTATTCAGCATGAAAGCTTGGCCTGTGAAGCACAAGAAAAACAGCCAAATCTCATGCACAAAAGAAAGGCCTTGACAAACCATGACAAACCTGGGGAATTTCATTCGTGCCGCTGGACAGCGCAAAGGATTCGCTGCCTCATGTCGGTCTCTGTGGATGTTCCTGGACATGGCAATTTCGATATTGCATTGACTTCTTCCAGCACCGCTGCTGACCTCATTTTACTGCTCCGTCAGCGTTTGCCAGACAGTCCATGGCATGGGAACAAGTTGCTGTCAAGTGGGGTCTGCCAGCTACAACGCGATGACGTTGTGGAGGCAACCCGCCACAGCACATGGGTCTTGGCAAACTACTCAGAGATCAGCAACCAGGAGACAAACATGCCAAATCCTCACTAGCCAATGGCCAATCACGATTTAGAATCTATATGCCAACAATACTCGTACCAACAAATACCACCAAATACCAACAAACACCAACAAATGCAGCGGTGTGATGAATCGATTCAATTTCAGTGTTTTTGGATTTAGTGGTTTCAGCATACCCTGGACACTGGTGGCTTGTAAAACGTATACCGTATACCTGCTCCTGACTTAAATGTGGGGAAGGAACTGCATTGAGAACTTGTGAAGCAAAGGCGAGAGTACCAATAGATTGCAGGCCCATGATTCCACCTTTGAGGGTGCTGCACAGTGCTTTTTGAATTCCTTTCCAATTTCATTGCATTTGTTGGTGCGCCCCACACACGTCAAAGGAGACTTTCTGCATCAAAGATACTGCAGAGCGAGGGATCACTCGCGAGCAATTGGCAAAAATCGTTGTTTTCATCTCCAAGATGGCTGACAGATGGTGCGAAACGTTCGGAGAACAGCGTGGGACAAGGCTGCAGTTTGAGACCTTCAACTTGTATCATGCGAATCATTGGATCATCAAACCAGCCACCGAAGCCTGGATCTGTTGATGATGTGACAACATTTTCCAATTTGAGGAATCTACTCTTTGTCTTTTTTTGATTGGCCCCATTATGCAGAATCCCAGGACGGCTATGCGAAAAAGGGCTGCAGCATGGTTGAGATCATGGCGATTCAAGTGCAGAGACCTCACTGGTTTGTGTCACATGCTTGGATTGAGCCTTGGATAGGCAAACTCTCAAGGTTGTTTGAGACCGTGCTATTGCATTGTCTGTCAGCAACATGTTTCTTTTTCCGCTAATAATCCACATTCCCCTAGAAGCCTTGGTTGAGTTTTGGACTTGTTCATTTCGGAACCTCAATAGGATGCTGTATCAAGAAGAAATGAACATCCAGCGTAATGATAGATGAAAGTCAATCCATCGCTTTGAAGCACGTCCAATTTTGTGTTGGGCAGATCTGTGAGGAGCCTGTTTGTAAGTTTCTGGCCTGCTTGGAGCAGCATGCTCTGGTGCGAGAACTCTCAAGCAGTACATTCTATTGGGTCTGTGCATATGCCAACAACCAGCACTGCGTGGAAGAGGATATCAAAAGCAACCCACGCAGCACTTCATTCTACAGAGCTATGCAGATGTCTGAGGGAGTTCTTTTGGTGCTGGATTCAGCTGGAACGCCTTTCGGCAGCTATCTGGACAACCTCCGCGCGGTGGCTGCGGGTCTATGCATTGCTGATGGGCCTTGGCAGTGCTTAGAAACGAATTGTTCAGATGTGGTGCTTGCAAGTTTCGATTTGCTTCAGAAGATTTGGGCTGTGTCTTCAAAAGAGCGGAACGCATTGATGCATGCCATGCATGGCAATGGTGCAGGAAGCAGAGCAACAGCTCGCAAAAGGAAACAGAAACAAAGAAATAACCAAGCAAATGGCTTCAATTTGCAACAAGCAGGTGAGATTCTCAAACTACTCTCTCAGCTTTTCCAATTGTTGGGACTCGGGGGTGGCGGTGGGAATTTGCTTCAACAGCTCAGTGCTATGATGGGCCATGGCGGGTGTGCCAAACCCAAGAAGACTAAGAACAAGAACAAAAATAAACAGGGCGGTGATGGTGGTCTGGGGGATTACGGCCAAGGGGGTGGTTTTTACCCTTCTTCTCCTCCTACTCAGCCCCCGCAGAATACTTCGAAACCACATCCTAAGCAAAAGGCGGACGTCCAAAAACAGCCACACACAGAGCAGCAGCCCCACAAAACGCCCAAGACCTTTGCTGAAGTGGTTCGAGCCAACACTGCGTTTAAGCCGGTGTGGAGCCTGCGTCAGTCAGACTGGACGGGGCCCATTTTGGGCTTTGATGACTTTTGTGTCGCACTGGATAAGCCTGGAAATATTTCAGCTACAGTGCAAGTGAACTCGGAAGAGCAACTTGAGGAGTTGCAGGTTTTGCTGAAAGGCGATTCCCCTGATATCAAAAGAGAGCTCAACATCACAGCTGTGATGCTAGCGCCGAAAGAGGCCAAGCAGACTGAGGAGGATCGACCTTTGCGGATGGTGCCAGGAAAGATCTCGGGCAAGGTGCAGCCCAGGCAGGCGTTTGTGATCCCACTTCAAGGCCAAGGGCCATCACTCAAGAGAGCTGCCGTTGTGTCAGCGGCTCCTGCAGTGCAGCCTGAAACTGTTGTAGTGAGATTAAGTGTTGATGCAAAATATTTGCAAAACAACGAGTGGCAGAGCATCCAGGCCAAGCCAAAGGCAAACGCGCAGGCTTGGTTGCATCGGCATGTTCCAGAGCATGTTGCGGACAAAGTCTTTGATATGTGGGCGTTTCAGCAAGAAAGCATGAAAGGCGGAGGCAAGCCAGTGATCACTGGCCTTTTACGCATTGAGCGAAGTGCTGCCAAAGCTCTTCTAGGCTGCTCAGGCAAAAGTACCTGGTTTGTGGAGCCTTTGCAATGGAACAACTCCGTGATTGAATCTTGCGATGTTGAGTGGGTCAAGAAAAGTTCGGAACTTGATGGGCCCAGCTACTTGCAGAAGGTTCAGTCCATGGCTGGTGACCTGGGCATTGCCCGGGGATGGAATGGACTGGGAGTACGTAAGCCCAGGAGCGCCGAGCCTCCTCCTAAGGCCAGAGCTTGGCGCGTCACTGGTGTTCCGCGAGATTGGGCGGCTAGTACCTTGACTCAGGAACTTACACGTGCTGGCCTGACTGAACTCAAGGTGTTGTCCCGGAAAACTGTGGGCAAACAAGTGGAATGGTGGGTGCAGGCCAATGCTCAAAAGGATATGGATTTCATTGAAATTCAGGCTGGCGAAAAAGTCATCGTAGCTGTTGAAGCTCCAAGACAAAGACGGCAGAGAACACATACCATGAAACTGGCTAGCAATGGAAGGGTCAGTTATAACCAGAGCCATGCATGGCAGGCGATTGCCACGCCTGCTCCTCGCAAATCTTTCTACATGGGAACGCCAGTCAAAAAGCCAGTGACTATTGCAGGGGCTGAGAAGGTTCCTGCTGAGAATTTGGACGAGGACAAGTCGGACGCAAAGATGGACAATGCTGGAGAACCCGCTGGGGCAAAAAGAGCTGTCAGTACTCCTGAAAAGAGTCCTCCGGCCAAGCGTGTTGCGGGGGAACCCAAGCCCCCTCACAATATGAAGGTGAAAAGCATCCCTGCTGACGGCAACTGTCTTTTTGAAGCCCTTGCTCAAAGTTTGGGCGGAAAAACAGCCAGGAATGTGCGTGCAAGCGTTGTCACCCACCTGACCAAGCACCAGGGTCGTTACAAGCCCTGGTGGGACGGCAAGGAGCCAACAGAGGCGGAGAATGCTTGCGAATCATGGGAGAGCTATCTCACCATGCTCTCAAAGATTGGTGCTTGGGGCAGTGCTCTTGAAGTTTCTGCTGCGGCTGTGCACTACGATCGCCCGATCATTGTCTTCCAGCCTCGTGGGGTTCCGGAGATTTACAATGGTCGTGGCAAGGGTGGTGCTCCCATCGCTTTGTGGTTTCGTTCAAAGCACTATGAACGACTTGAAGGTGCTTTCCCTCCTGAAGTTTTGACTCAGGCCGCAAATGGTCCAATGCAGGGCAACAGAGGTGGAGGATCGGAATGTGGCGCTACTTCAGTTGGTGCCACCAGATTGTCAGCTTTGCCGTCACTGGTTCATAGCAACAATAAACGTGGAAGGTGTGCTAGCCCCGCGCCCGCCTCTACTTTGTCAGAGCAGCGCAAGAATTCTTCTTCCCCTGCGGCTGCTACTTCGGGTCGGGGTCCGTGCACGCCACGTGCAGCCAGTGAAGGACAAGACGCAGCCAGTGCTTCGTCCAGACGCACTAAGCGTACTGAGTGGACATGCCCTTTGTGTGACTTTTCCACTGGGGTGTGCAAAGGATGGGTTGACAAGAAGAGAGCTCATATCAATGCTTGGCATCCCGATGAGAAGGAACAGTTGAAAATCGGCTTCAAAAACACGTTGCCTGCGCTGTCTGCGGTCAAGAAGGGAGGAGTCTATAGCTAGAAGTGTCCTGTTTGCAAACTTGGCTTGTCCGCTGATCACAACCTCAAACCTGGCCAAGTGTACAGCGTCATCCGCAAGCATAGGGAAGACAAACATCCTCAGGCGGATGCCAAGCTCTTCCACAAGGACAGCAGCTTCAGACGGGAGAATGCTAGCAAAGCCACGCGCCAGGTGCGTGCAGCTGCAGTGGCTCGAAGGTTGCTTGGCTTCAAGCGTGGCGATGCTGGAGCACATGACCCCACTTTCGTTACCATTCCAGCCACAGGAAATGGCAAACAGAAAAGAGTTGGAATGTCTTACGTCATTTGCAAAACTTGTGGCAGTATGGCTTTGACAGCGAAGCGTTTGGCAAAGATTGCTTGTGAACAGTATGCTTCCAGCAAAGGGCCCAAACGAAAGCAGTTGGTGGAAAGATTGCGTGCGTGCCTCAAAAATGCAGACATCAGCGATGACTTCAAGAAGGGTGCCCGCACAGTTTTGGAAATCATCGACTCTGGAGCATTTCGCACCACTGATACTGCAGCAGACAGCACGCATCAGATTGAGGCCATTGTGTGGCCTGCCAATTTTACGGTGCGTTTTGCTTGTGTGCATTGCAAGCGTTGTGTCAACAACATCAGACGGCTTACAGGAAGTCAGTGTCCTCGTAAAATGGTTTGGACTAAGTTTCGAAAGGGCCAGAGGGATATTTTGGTGCCTCTTGCGGCTCAGGCTCCAAGTGCCAGACAGCGAGCTGCTTCGCGAGCTTTGGACATTTTGGGATTGCAGCAGGATGGCGCTGTGGATCAGAACCCATGACGGGCTCTGACAGCACTATGCGGTTTGGGGACTATGAATGTACAGTCCTTGGGAGGCCGCTTGGGTGGTGTGCTTGACTTTGCTCAGCTCCAGAATTTACATGTTCTGTGTCTTCAAGAAACTAGAGTTAACAATCACAGCTGGAATGCTGTGACTCGTGCCGTCAAGGCACGCGGGTGGCAACTTTTTCCTGGCCCTCAAGGAAGAAATTCGAAAAATGTAGTGGAAGGTGGTACATTGGTTCTAACAAAGTGGCCTGCTGAGGCCTTGGCCCTTCCTGTCGACATGGTGTCTGTGGAAAGATCCATGGCCGTCAAACTCTATAGACCTTAGCAAAGGCCGTTGATTCTCATCAATGTTTACTTACATGCTTCAGATCGCACAGCTGCCAGCCGTGCGCTGGGTGCGCTGTTCGAGTTTGTTGCTGCTTGTGGTGAAGATACAGTGATCATGGGTGACTTCAATTTGGAAATTCATTGTTGGCCAATTTCTAACGTTTTGGCTACTGGACAGTGGCGGTCCTGTGATGAGCTGGTTTGCGGAGATCGTGTTTTAGGTGGTACACATCGAACTGCTGCAGGTGTTTATACAGGTGTGGTCATTGACTATGGCTTGTGCACTCCTCGGTTAATTATTACTGGTAGGGAGCAACATCTTGGCGTGGCTGACCATGACGCGGTGGTTTACAACTTGCATGTGCCTGGTTCATTATCCACACCGTGGACTCTCCCAGTTGGTGCCCCTTTGCATTCTGAAAAGGTTGCTGAAGCTTCTTGGCTAAGTGCTTGGGAAGAAGTATGTGACGATTTTGGAAATGCATTGAGTACAGGCAACGTGGACTCTGCTTGGACCTTACTTAGCAACTGCGCAGAATCTCTTCTTCTCGCACGTGGCAAAACTGGTCGTGCTATGCGCCAGGGCCCGCAGCAAATTGCCAGTCCTCCGTCTTCAAAAGCGCCTTCTTTGCAAACAGTGAAAGAGCGCAAGCTCAGACGCTTCGCACGAAGAGTGGTGGAGTACCAAAAGGCCCCGTTGCCAGAGTTGGAGAAGAAGTTGGTTCGTGATGGCCCTCATTTACATCATTCTTTGGCTTTTTTCTCTTTGGATGACCCCAGGTTGGTTAGTGCAGTGCTAGAATTGGCAAATGCAGAAGCTACAGCAGCGTCCAAGTTACGCTTGGAGGCGTGGAAGGACAGCGTGCAGGAAAATGCCACCAAACTAGGCAGGTGGGTCAAACAGGTGCCGCCCGCCAGTCCTACTGCAAGTTTTGATGGCCCCATTCTACCTGCAGATAGGGCCAAGTGCGCAGCATTGGATTGGGAGAGGTATTGGAATCCAGGGTCGCTTCCGAATTTGAATCTGGGGGACCAGTTGTACTCTCAGATTGGCTCTGCAAGCGATCCATTGCCGGATGACTGTATTCAGGTTAGTGGTTCTGAATTGGTTCGGATTGCGCTCAAAGCGAAGGACAAGGCTCCGGGCATGGATGCCTGGACAGCTCTCCATTTGTGCAATCTTCCCATTGCTTTTTGGGATCAGGTCGGTGCTCTTTGGGATGCTTGCTTGCGACATGGCTGTGTTCCTGCGATGTGGAAAGATGTTAGAATTGCTTTGTTACCAAAAGCTACTGGTGGCATGCGCCCTTTAGCCATTGTCACTGTCCTGTGGCGTATTTGCATGAGTGCCACTCTGAAAAAATTACAGCCTTGGATTGCGGAATGGGCTTCGCCCGAACTTTTTGGTGGTCTACCAGGCAAGGGCATCATGGAAGTCCATGAACGTTTCTACGAAGCTGTCAGCGCGGCAAAGCAGTCTCGTGTCGATTTGGTCGGGTGCAAAGCTGATGTTCGCAAGTGTTTTGATTCAGTTTGCCCTCAGACAGCCATTAAAGTGTGGCGATGGTTCGGTGCTCCCTCATCAATTTGTGATTTACTCGCTGATTTTTACAGTGAACAGCGTCGTTGGTTTGCTTGGCAAGGTTCTTATCACCCTCATCCGGTTTTTGCTCAACGGGGTTTGTTGCAAGGCTGTCCAGCCAGCCCTGCGCTACTGAACGCTTTGATGACAGTTTGGGTGAGGTTTGTCAAACGGCAGGAACCAAGGATTTCTTTGGCTATTTATTTGGACGATCGCACCATGTGGAAACAAGGTTGTCAAAGTTTTGAAGTGGTCATCAACGCCATGACTGCGGGAGCGCAAGCCGATGCTATTCTCGGCTTCGAACTTCACCCTGACAAATTGGCTAGCTTCGCCACCAAACCGCATCTGGTTGCCAAGGTGCGCAAGAAGAAAGATTTAGTAGGTGTACCTGCGGATACTTTCACACTGCTTGGCATTCAATACAATTTGTCACGCCCCAGTTCTTGTGTTGATGCGGATATTGTCAGTGACAACATTCAGCGACGATGTCTCAAAATTCGTTTGGCAGCACAGCACTTAGGCACTCGCATTGCATTGGTGCATAAGTTGGTGATATCTTTATTTGCTTGGTCCGGTGCTTTTCATCACTTCAGTGCAAGAACCATTCGAACATGGACATCTATGATCGAAACTGCACTTTGGGGTCGAAGGGCTCCTCCAGGTAGGAGCCGGCTGCTCTTTTGGAATTCTTTGGGTTCTGCAAGACTACATCCGATGTTTGCGCTCCAGTTCACCGCCGCCCGGGCGGAATGGAATCGGCAATGCCGCCGTGCCCAAGGGTTGCCTGCAGCTACCTCGCCTGCTCCTCGCTGGAAAGCAGTACTCAAAGATTGGAAATGGCGACTTGACGATGGCCTGTGGCACACGCCTGCTGGGATTTTGAAACCTGGGTGGATGTCTTTGAAAAGCTTGCAAAAGGCCGCTATCCATTCATGGCTCGTTGGTTTGTGGACTAAAGACACCAAAACGGATGGTCGATGGCCAAACGGCAAGGAGCCGGTTTTCCTTTTTCAGGCAAATGCAGCTTTAGGCATGGATTACTACAGTCGCAGGGTTTTGACTGGTGCTGCAGTGGATGGCAGGGTCACAGAGCGCTTTGGTTTGCTTTGAGTTGTGAATGTGGATTGCGGTCTCCTGATCGAGAACATCTCACTTTTCACTGCCAAGCGCAGCCATGGGATGGTGAGTTCAGGAGCGCTACTGAACGTCGTTTGCTGGTTCCACTTGTGGATGCTCCTCCTGTGTTGCCTTTTTCCAACATGGTTGCAGATCCTGCTTTGGTTACTTTTATTCAGCAATTCGATCCTCTTCAGCGACCCACCTTGGGTTTGGACGGCAGTTGTATCATAGCTACTTCCTGTGATCGATGGCAAAGAGCTAGCTGGGCGGTTTCGACACTTTCAGGCACCACTGTTCAAGGTGCCGTGACTGGTTTTGAGCAAACACCTGCTGCAGGTGAGCGTGCTGCTCTTCTGCAAGCTTGTTTAGCCTCTTCTGCAGCTAACAGACCGGTGATGCTCTTGATTGACAATCAGGCTTTGGTGCGGCGGCTTCAGCGAGGCATTAGCACTGGCCGTTGGGAGGGGGACTTGCCGCTTTTCTGGCAGCGGATCAGCGGCTTATTGATTCAGGGCACTGTTTGCACTTGGATCCCTTCTCACAACAAGGTGCCTGACTGGACACCACCAGATGGTTGGATTGATGTTCATCTCTGCCGCGTTCTCAATGCGACAGCCGATGCTCAGGCAGGTGAAGTGTTGCGTGACTCACGCTCCATGATCGCTGCGGCTGTGCAGCGACATCAGCGAGCCGTGGCTTGGGCTGCAGCAGTTTGGCGTCTGCAGAGGCTACGGACTTTACCTTTTTGGCAAGTCGTACTTGATCAACAAACATTCCTTGCGGAATGCTAGCTGGCGCACTGTGTTTACTTCTTTTTTATTTCAGGCAGGTTTCGCTTCCTTTGAGTTTTGCTTGGAGAAGTATGGGAACTTGATTCTCGCAGATGGCATACTATGGCGTCTTAACTACTTCACTTCGGTGAGGAGCAGGTTGACGTCCGCTTACAACAACAACAACAATACTACTTTTCTAGCTTTTTGGGTGTTGCTACAGATTCATTTCTCCTTTTCCTGTGGAAACTGCTGGGCTTCGTTTCTTCCTGTCAGGCGAGTCTTGTCTGACTATCTCAAGGAAGCTCGCACTGCCCAAGAGAGCCGCAACAGCGACCGTCGTCAGGCCGAGCGGCCGATTGGGTTTCACATTTTGCCAGAGATTCCTTTGAT